CCCCAAAACCCCAAAACCCCAAAACCCCAAAACCCCAAAACCCCGCACAACAATTATTAAATTGAACTTTAATAATGTCTGTTTTAGCAGTCAAAAGACGTAAACTCACCGATAACAAAGAATCTTCTCTTTCTGAAGAAGAAAACCACAGCAGCTCTAACAAGGAGCAAAGGTCCACTAATGGACTTGATGACGACCAGAAATCAGAGTGTGAAGGCGACCAAGAAAGCAGCGGAAATGTAAGAACCTCCAGAGTTTCAGGCTTTGGCCGCAGAAGGAAGAAGAAGGTTTTCGCTGATTATTACTGTGACGAGATCTTCTCCAAGCCTAAAGGAGGAAATAAGAAGAAAGAGCCTAAATTGAAGAGAAAGAAGAGTAAAGGTAGTGGAAAAGCTAAAGGGGGAAAGAAGGAATCAACTGAAGAGTCCAAGAAAAGCTCCTCTAAAGGTAAATAAAATAAAATCGACTTTATTTGTTGATGTATGATTATTAGTAATTCGGTTAGATAAGTCTACCTATTTTTGACATCCCAACAATGGGTTCTAATTTAATCATGTAGGGTTGAACAAGAAAATTCCAAAAGTAGTACCAGATAATCAGAGGCAAACCTTATCTGCTCTGAATCAGAAGAACATTGGGCCTTTGTTTCAGAGAAAAATGCAGGGAAATAATTCTTTCAAGCCTCTAGAGATGTCTACAAAGAGTCATGAAATTCAAAAGTTGACTTCTGGGCAAAATAATTTTGGAAATTTAAACATGGCCAATATGGCTGACACTAAAATTTATCCAATTAAGCCAATTCCTCAGAGACAGGGAGGGTCTAAGCTAGACTTACTGCTGAGTGCTTATAGGATGAGTAATCCTGTACAGGGAAACCCCACCTCTATTCTAGACCAGAATTTGAAAAAGAGAGAAGATAAGGAAATTGATAAGCAAGTGCAAAAGCTTCTTTCAAACAGTGAGAACCCGTTAATCAAAAGAGGGACTCCGTTTGGCCTAGGAAGTATGCAGAATACTATAAATGCTATCTTGAATAGGACTAACAGTTCCACTTCAATGAATATTGGGCCCATGAATGCACTTGCTCCTGTGATTCACTCAGATGGGAGAAAGTCTAGCTCCGAAATTGAAGAGAATTTCAAACCCAAGACTCCTGTCAAAAAGAAGATCAATAGATTGTATGAAAGGGAAGAATACTCCAGCCCTGAAAACAATAAATACAAGGAATCATCCTTCATTTCTCGGAAACATAAGCCATTTATCATGAAGACTCCCAAAAAGCTAAAGGGCAAGTCGAAAACTATTCAGGAGAAAGCTGATAAAACTTCACGTGTTACAAAAAGGATAAAAACTGGAGAAGAAGTGAGATTGGTGCTTGAAAGCCCCACTTCTTCGACAACTTCTCACATTGATTTACATATCGGCAAAAGAAATCTAAGTGACACTGTAAATTCCGGCAATAACTACCCAAATTTGAATAAATTGCTAGGCGTCAATGGTTCATTAGACTCTATGGTGAACAGCATAAGCTCCAAATTGACTGAGAAATATTCTAACAATACCTCTAGGACTATAGGATCAAGGTCTATCAGTAACTGCGATAACTATAGACTAAACTCAGTGCCTTTGCTGTTTGCTTCATTCAAAAATTAATTTTGTACTGTCAAAAGAATTTCAAATATCAACAGATTACAAGGAAGACATATTTATTTTATTTTGAATAAATATTTAACAAACTCGTTTTCAAAATTATCGAATAATTTGGGGTTTTGGGGTTTTGGGGTTTTGGGGTTTTGGGG